ATAAATATACTCTTAATATGTACTTTTGAAACACAAATTAAAAATTCCCTTCCTTGTTAGATAGTTGTAAAACTTCTCTTTGGACACTGCAACTGCTATTTATTCAAGCAGTTGAGCAATACATTTTCCCTTTAATGGAGTTCTCTTTCATTCATTGGCTTTTAACTCAAGATAGGTAAATATGAATCAAATTGACTAATAATTCTCAATAAATTGTTCACCTATCTCGCCAGAATTTAGTATTAGATTTTATCTTAACATGGTTTCCCAACTTTTCTTTCCTTCCATACTACACATAAATGCTTGTTGAATGATCAAAAACTGCACCTATATATCAAACGGGTAAGAAAACATTTTTTTCTTTTTGGTTATGTCTTTTTAAAGAAAAGTTATATCACGAGATGCTTATGAAGTTATATTTTAATCAATAAAAAAATATTATCTCATAAGAAATTAAAAAATTAATTAGGTGTAAACTTTTTAATGGCTAAAACACTTGTGATGTGAACACTGATCATAGGTGCTACAGAGAGTGCTACAGAAATTTATCATGCTTTCCTTCCCCTTTTGTAAGGTGTCAAAGTGGGTGATTTTTCTTTGGTATTTTCCACTTGAGAAGAGTCAGAAAAGTGGGATTTTTATTTCCTCCACTTTCCTGAGAAAAAATGATGGGAGAGGTAGAAACTGACCGTTACATGATTTTATTTTCCTCAACAGATATAATAAAAGCTAATAAATTTACCAATTTAAAGCTTTGAACCAAAATTTGGAACTTCTAGAGAGAATAGACTCTCAACGACTTCATACTTTGTTTTGACTCCAATTCTCTTCCTATTTTTGTCTTTGACAAATAATTTAAAAACAAAAACCACTCTTCAAGTTAAAATCTTCCCCTCAATCTTTTATGATATTTTTTGGATTTTTTTTTGATGTGTTTATCTTCTGGGGTTAGAAGATAATCATATCAAGTTTCACTACGAAGGATAAACATGGGACTCAAGGATCATCTTCATCTCAAGCTAAAGGTAAAAGCCTATTCAATTTTCTTTGAAACCTTCTGTGTTATCTTAGAGTTTTAATCTTGGAGTTCTTGGATAATTTTCATTCTCTAAAGATAATTCTTTTCTCCTGATTAATGGGGTTTTTCCAAAATTTGATTTTTTTACAATCTCTACAATTGCAAAATAATCTTATAAACCATAAGGGAAGAAAGGAAAGAATGGTTGATTTTAATGGTCAAGAGATTCAAGACCCTTAGACTTTCATATTCTATCTGACTAGATGCAGAAGGTTTTAGCTGATTCAATCCAGGATAGTGGCTGAACATTGTTCTTGTTTTTGCTTACACCATTGATATCATCGAATGACCTTGAGATGTTTGTTTTAATGCGCAGGCATTTCGGCTGAGACGGTTTCGGATTGGAGATGGTGGGAACAAGAGGAGGGAGTCTCATAGGACCAAGAGGAAGCCATTATGGATGATGCCAATATCACATGGCTATCATGTTGTTGAGGATCATCAGTCATTTAGGAGTGGCCGCGGTGGCTTAGATGAAGTGGATTCGGTTGTGGTGCAGAGAGAGCAAATTGGAGAGCTTGAGCTGTGGTTGTTCGGAGTTTTTGATGGCCGGATTCGAGATGGAATCACCAAATACATTCAGTCCCATCTGTTTGATAAAATTGTCAAAGAGGTAATAATTTTTGTTGTAGTTGCTGTTGTAGTGTTCTTTACTTTATCTTAACAAATTTGTGTTCAATACTTGTAGTTGTAGTATCACATAATGAACACCCAAATCTTCTAGTTTTGGTTCTTTTTAATTTTGGAATGTTCGTTTGCAGTCTCAGTTTAAGATAAAGAGCAAAGAGATAATGAGGAAGGCATATCTTGGTGCAAGGGCAAAGGTGAGGGAGGCACAGGAAGGGGATGAGGCATGTAAAGTGGGTTCTGCATCTGTGATGGTGATCAATGGAGAAAAACTTGTGATGGCTAACATGGGGGACTACAGGGCAGTTGTGTGCAGAGATGGAGTGGCCCATCAGATCAGCACTAACAAACTCCACCAATCATCAAAAAGACATTGGATTCACAAATTCTTTACAGGTATACACTGCATAGAAGAAATGATTTCTTCGAGCCTAGTCGAGTTGGGACTAACAATTTAAACCTATCTAGATAACTAGATGGTAATGTTAAGCATGCTAGCAAATAGGTTTGAACATGAAATCCGCAATTCAGTAATCTTATGTTTAAAGTTGTGCCATGTATTGATCATGTTCCTTGTTCTTGAAGTACGCATGTTAGCATGCGATTCAGGTAATGCAGAACTCACCAAGCACACCAAAAGCTCAGAACTTCTTGTTGCTACTGAAAAGGTCGACTCTGACACTGAATTCGTTGTCATAGCAAGCTCTGGAATATGGAAGGTAAGATGAGTTCATTTTTCCATTTGATCAGAGACTGAAAATTATAGCCTTGTTTTCCCTTGAACTGCTTTTGCATAATGTTTTTCGTCCAGGTGATGAACAATCAGGAAGCAGTGAGTCTCATCAGGCACATAGAAGATCCACAAGAAGCTGCGGAGTGTTTGACCAAGGAGGCTTCAGCCAGAATGAGCAAAAGTTGCATTTCCTGCGTTGTCATCCGTTTTGACTAGTATTGGTTTCATCTATTTTATCTCTAAATCAGCATTCGTATCATGTATTAAAATTTGTTTTTCCTAAATCGTTTCATTCATGTATTGATGATGAAACATATTATATGCAATCAAATATATGCTTTCTTTCCTTCATGCAAATCTTGCTTAGTAATAAGATAGAGAATGCATCCTGTTTGCGCTCACAGCCTCATCAAACACAAAAACGATAATTGCAAGTTGCAACCCTTCCCTGTAATCATAGTTTTTGAAGATAAATCTTACCAGTTTCCAAAGACTGTAAACCCCGGATACAGGGACACAGATGATAAGAATATGTCATAAGCATGGAAACTGAAGTGCGTGTGGTCAAGACAGAGAGAAGATGACAAACTAATTCACAATAAGAACATAGATCAGTGGGTGTGAATGTACAAAGAACAATTTTACAATAATGTCGTAACTAATACCTCTCGGTTTTTTCAAATATCAATGCACCAAAATGAATAAAAAGGAACATCTGTAATAATTCAGGGTCAAAAGCCATCAAAAGTGATAAAACGCTTCAGTTGTCCATAGCTTCAAATTTAACACCCAGTTTCATCAGGTTGTTGATTTATTTTCCCTAGTCTTGCTTTTAAATGGTGACAGCAGGGAAAAATGGCGAGAAGCTGCAGGAATATAAATTAAGCCTTGATTTCAGATCAACATTCATATTCATGATTTGTATCATTTACCGGAGAGAAAGGTAGGGCAGATGCAAAATGCTTACGCTTTTGGGGAGTACCAGCACCACTGGGGGTTTCATCTTGAGAGATCAAGTTCTTCAATGTATGTACTGAGGAAACAAACCAAAAATGTTGGCTATCATTGGCATGCATAGTACATGTGAATAATAATCACCAAAGCTCCAAACGAGACCATAATATAGACCTAGAAAGAATTTGCAGTTACCTTCACTTGAAGAGGAAGTGTTTATTGCCAAGTCATCAGCCTCAGAACCATAAACACTGCCATTATCTGATTCAACATTGCGTTCACTTGAGCAAGGATTATGATTCTTTCTTCCAAACTTCAACAGCCGTCGAAACCCTTTGGACTCTTTTATCTGAGGCTTTTCCAATGCTTCTGGAATCTTTTCCAGTCTCAAGTTATTTGCATTAGACACATGAGTGTTAACCGTGTCTCTATCTGTTACTGCAATTTGCAAGCCAGTTGGAGGTCCCTTCCCATACTCTGAATTTTCAGCACATGGATCTTCCAAAGAAGAGACTCGAGCATAAGGTGCTTGATAAGCCCTTTCAGTAACGCCTATGCCTGACAGATGCAGAGATTCTTTCTTAGCGTTGCTCATGTTTCCCATCTCAACCTGAAACTATAGTGATATTAAAAAAAAAAAAAGGTTGGTCAAGTGAGCAAACACTTTTTTGAAAGCAAAATTGCTTCACCAACTCTTAAATCTTAATCCACACAACTAATATCCCTGGGGAAATATTTACAATGATGAGATTAAAAAAAAAAAAAAAATTGGGAAAGGGGATTCAAACCCATTCCTTAAGGATGAGGAACTTGCACTTCACCAGTTGCGCAGCAAGCTCTGTTATGGGATATTTGTTCTTAATAAGATGAAAAAGAAAATTGCAAAACAGACATTGTGACAGTGACTCTTGTACTGCACTATTAAAGACAGCAGGTATTACAAAAGCAAAAGATAAACCACTTCTATGACGTCTGTCACTTACAGAGCTGAAAAACATTTCAAAATATATAAAAACATACCTTTCCCCATCAGAGGTTGTTATTAAAAAGGATTAGGACCACTTCAAGTTCTTATGAAACCTACCTTAAAAGAACCAGTTTGCTGTTGTATTTGGTGTTCTATGGGTTCTTTATCAATTCTATCCTTGTTGGGTGGTGAAACTGGTGGATAAATGGCAGCATAATCTGACTCTATCTCAGTTGTTTTCCCTAGTTTGTGGATGTCATTCTGTTCCTTCTGTACTGGCATAGTCTCTTCAGATGAAGGTAAGGCAGAAATGGCAGGCTTTTGACATTCAAGCATCACAACTGTTTTTTCAATCACTGTGCTTTCATCCCCATCACCATGAAGTGAAACTTTCTCCTTTTTCCTATTCATCTCAGCAACTTCAGTGGAAGAAGACTTGCTCCCATTCACTTTCTGAGCCATTTCTTTGGCTCCAGATTGGCTAGCGGCAGCATTAGGTGCCTCAGATTTTCTAATTTTCAGCTCTGGAAGAGATGCAATCTTACTTTTATCATGGTTCATAATTGCTGATATTTTTTTTATCCCAGGCCCACTAGATATTTTTGGCTTTGATGATGGTTCAGAGCTTTGTCTCTTCATGGAAGGAACATGTGAGCTAGTAGATAATTTAGGCTCCGATAATCTTCTAATCCTGGCCATGGATGACTTTGTATCAGGAGTTGCACCACTGCTTTCTTTCTTTGGATCAGGCAGCGATGAAACTGACTGACTTAACCTATTTCCACTGGATTGGGTTCCGGTGTTTGGTTTGCCAGTTTTAGAGCCTTTCTGAGAATCATTTGATCCCAAAGAAGCAGGTCTAATGGATCTTTGGAGAGCTGATGATACACCAGGCTCAGAATCACTAAACTTTGATCCCTTATGAGAGCTCAGAGAAAGTTTTGATGGCAATTGTTTCCGAGTTTGCTGTGTTGTTGCTGCTGCTGACTGAACAGGAATGGAACTGCCTCTAGCAGCTATTCTCTTTTGTCTTTCCAGCTTTAAAGCTTCCAATCGTTTCATCTCTGCCTCTTCCTGAAAAAAGTTGAAAAATCTAATTATTTACACAAAAAATGGGGAAGGTATTTAGCAGGCCATGTAGACCACCTGATAAAAGAGACAGAAACAAAATCATGCAACTCTTGCAATGCAATTTACAAACAAACTGGATATGCATGGTAGGCCAAGATCATAAATGACTTTGCCATTACACATTGAATGTTTTCAAGTTAGAGCTATGAGTGTAGTACCTTCTCTTTCTTCATTTTCTGAAGATCAGATTTATATGTTCTTAGCCTCTCAGCTCGAGCTCTTGCTTCATCCAAAGGACTCAATTTTGAAGATTTTCCTTTCCTTATTGGTCCTATATTCTTATCAGTAACTGGTTTTGACTTCCGGTCCTTGTCTGACTTCTTAAGCCCTTGCTTATTGTCAGTCATCACCTCCTTATTTTTCTTATCCACTGAAGCACCATTTTTAGTATAAGCCTCAATTTCATAATCTAAAGCGGGGTCATAACCAATTGATCCCTTTTCTGCTCCACGCTCAGGCAACATACTTAATTCATCTGGCTCATAGTCGACATGGTTAATCCCATTAGTCTCATTTTCCGCCTTATGAAGTAATAATGGGAACTCAGAATCCATGTCAATGGCATCTCGGTCACCAGTTCCAACTTCAGCCACTGTAGTTGACCTAAACGGAACTATGTAGGAATCATCTTTGACATTATGCGATGATCTTCTTTCCAAGCCATTGTTTGAACGTTCAAATCCATTTACAGCCAGAGGATCAGATGGAGAACCTGTAAAACCTGACAGATTTTCTCGTCTATTAACAACAAAATCATCATTTTCAGTCCTCCTATATCCGCTCCTGCCATCTATTTCTCTAGACTGTAAATCCATTTGACCATCAATGAAAACCCTTCCATCAGCAGATTGACCACCTCTTTGAGAAATCAAGAATTGATCATTTGATGCCTTAGGCATGCGGATTATTTTAGCACTGACTCCATGTATATCAGTGGTATTATCTTCTTCAAACTGACCAGTTCCTCTTCCATCATAAACTAAAAGGTCCTCATCCATTGCATTTGTTCTTCGTTTTACCCGAACATCCTTTTCCATTGCAAACATGCCTTGGTTACTCCGACGCTCGTCTTCAGCATCTCTCAGTAAATAATTTTGAAATGCCTGCCATTGTCCACCATCTGCTTCTTTGTGATGCTGTGTGTCATCCTTATCAGGTGAATTCAGAGTATCAAGAGATCTTGACTGACTTCTGTTACCCTTTGAGGACCTCATAGATTTCTTGGGTTTACCCTTTGGAGAAGCAGCCTCTAAATCTTCATTTTCAGCATCAGTTTCAGTGCTAGAAGCAGACTCTGAATCACTATCTGAGGAATTTTGCTTCTTTGAAGAGATATAATTGATGTTCCGAATAACTACCATGCCTGCTTTCTTCTTAACAGATGGGCTTCCTTTTTTTCGTGGTTCATGACTCTCTAAAGTTTCATTGTCCAATTCCTCATCATCCTGAGATCTTCCTTTCTCCATCTCCCAAGTCTCTGATCCAGTATGGCCATCTCTACTATCCATTGAATGCCGTTTCTGTCTCATTCTGTGACCAGAGTTGTACCTAGGATCATCCATTGATGGATAAGGTTGATGAAAGAATGGACCATTACCAGGGTAATTTTGGTAGTACGGCATGCCTTGCATAGGATAACCTTGAAAAGCTGGCAGAGAACCTGGTGGAGACTGTATAGGCCAGGGAGGAAACAGAGGATGTGGAAACTGTCCCTGGAAATATTCTTGATGGCCAGGAGGTTGGTGATCCATGAGATGCTTCTCATCTGGCCAAATATCAGTAAAAATTTTATTTCAACTCATGATCATTGAGGAGAATATAAATGGCATGGATAACAGTTAAAACTAGGTAAAGAAAAGGCATAGAAATGAAACATTGGCTACAACAAAAGGACAAATGGCACACAGAAGACATCTGACTCCTACAACATTTGAGCAATTTGCAAATTACATTTTCATAGTCTACACCAAACGATGAGATAAGACTTGCTAGTAGCCAATGGGCTTATGATAAGTGATAGATTTTTCAAAACAACCTTTTATAAATTGCAGGAATTGTAACATAACTTTTTATCTGGATGATACCTAACCTCATACCTGTACTTTGGTCAATACTTTCCTTCCCATTATTTTCTGTAGTTCCAGGCCAAGATTCCCTTTGTTTATTGATTGCATTAGCAAGCATAATTCCAGATGCATTCATGGCAGAGAATTCTGATTGACTTGACATTGCTTCGGCTGCTTCTATTTCAAGCCATTGACCAGTTTCATGCTTTCTTTTCCATAATTCCACGAATCTTAAACAGGCATCCCTGTCATCATAAAAAAGGACGTCATCAATCATCATGAGAGTTCTTTTTGTCAAATACAAAGTATTTTACCATGCATACTGATACAGGTTTGGGTAGATAAATGAAACAAAATCATCGATAAGAAAATGCTGCTTACTTCAAACGTGAGGCTCCAAAGCTTTCAGCAAATGAAATCAAAGGTGCCATGTGATCAATTTCAAAACCAGCAGCTACAGCCCGTGCAAAAGCCATGCCTTGCTCTTTCTGCAGCACAGTCTTCCGTGTCTCTAGTACTTTCAAAAGTTGAACTCTGAGAATATAGCCAAATGTAATATGTGATTAACAGCTCTACATATCAGTTAAACTACAGCAAAAAGAAGTATCAGTTGGACTGTCATGGTCTCGCAACCATCAAACATACAAAAGGAGATAATACTACACCTTTATATTCTTCATATTTAACACAGTGACTCTCCACTTCTGTCTCCTTTTTAATCTTTTTATTCTTTCTTGTTAAAATAGAAGATGAGAAAAAAATTTATAGTGCAACAAATGTATATTATTCAACATCCTCAACTAAGATGTTATCATATATTCTGTCACTTTGGTTCCTAAGTACATACTTGGAATTTCCCTCCTGCTCAGCGGAACCATTGGCTTCAGGTGTCTGGGTGCCAGGCTGCCAAACAAAAAACATATCAAGTTAAAGAAAATCAAGAAAGATTCAGTACATTCTCTAGCTTTTGCTCGGTACCAACTCACCGTGTATAAGACAATGGCTTTCTCCATATTTGAATCTGGTGGAGACTTGCTGCCTGTCCAAACAGGTCAGGCATAAATCCAAGCTAGTAGATAGAGTACTAATGTATGAAAATTAAAAGTATTTGGCACTACTCAATGAAGAACTACAGAATGAAAGACCTGACTAAGCTAATGCCACCAGAAAATTTGCTTGACATGAAAGTACTTTAGAATGGAAAAGTAAACAAGAAGAAAAGAGACTAAAAGAAAAAAATATTATGGTATAAAATCAATTTGCTACGGCCTCCATCATGATAAAATGCCACTAATCCAGATAAAATAAAAATGAAGAACCACTTATGGAAAGGCCAAAACTTTCCAACTGTACCTTCCATGGTACGTGAAGCTTTTGCTTGAAAGCCATCTACCTGCCAGACACAGAACAACCAAGATTCAATCTCTATGACATGCAATCATGTAAGTATAACCACCAAAGATTTTACATACAGGACTCAACCCTATATTATTGTTGCTTTGAATTGCTATAGCCTCCTCAATCTGCAAGATCTCAGATTCTACAGTGTAAACCCGTTCCAAGATCTCTGGAGTGCTCACAAAGCGAACAAACCTGCAAAACCAACACTTATTAGTCTTTGCTCAGATTTTCCCTCAGAAAGTTATATTAAAATTTTAACAACTTCTCAGAAAATTATAATTACAAATATTTCATTGAAAATTGTGCATGTGGACTTTAACACAAGGCTTGCATCCAACCAAAAACCAATTGGCAACAAGTGGAGTAACCCTCCTTATATTTAATCCACATACTAATTTGTTATGCATGGGATTTTCCTAGTCAACATCTATAATGCTTTCTCGCTCAGAAAATAAGAAAGCCCTTTGATTTTAACTCCAAAGTTGAAACTGAAAAGTAAAAGGCCATTGCAAATTAAATGTATAAACACTTTCCACCTTCTTAGTATGGTGATTACTGTCAGTAAGAGACATCAGATGATAACACAAACCTTTCTACCATTCCCTTTGTGAACCAAGTTGCATCAATTAATGTCAGTAAGAATAAGCATCTGAGAATAAAACAAACCTTTCCACCGTTCCCTTGGTGAACCAAGTTGCATCAATGCCAGGACCAGGTTGAAGAGTAATTGAATAACCGCCTTTGCTCATCTGATCTTGTGCAGTTTTTAAATGGGCAAGAAATGGATTAAGCAAACCATACGCTAGTTTCTCTGTCTTTCCATTTGCAAATATCACTAAATCACACCTGATCATAGAAAATCAAAATAGTTCATATCAGATTTGTAACGTTTACATGCAAATGCCCACATGTATAGATTCTCTAATCTCTACCAAACCAACACCAAAATCTCAGAAACATTTTTATCAACACATACTCCAACTCCAGTAGAAATACAAAATTAGTCCCAGATAAAAATTCAATTTGATCAAACTGCAGCCTAAAGATTAAAATAAACTCATACTCTATTCAAACAGTATCACTGGTTTTCAAGATACACGGACCATAATTAACAAACAAATGATGGTAAGAAGTTGCAAAGAAAAGCCAAAACCCATATAAACTAACAAAACTGAATCCAAGAGAAATTAAAACCAAAAAACTAGAATATAAAGAACAAGCAAAACTATAAGGAGAGTAGAACAATCACTTAAATCAACTATTCACCAAGAACATAAACCTCCAAATAAGAAGAAATCAACAAAAAGGGAGACCCATTAATCACAAGGTCCACAGCTTTAGATCCATTGACAGCCTGAAGATATTACTAAAAAAAAAAAAAAAAAAAAAAAAAGAAAAAATTGCTACTTGATGGGAAAAACCTATCAATAGCAAAGGCTAAAGTTAGCAACAAAATTCACCTTGTCCGAGTTGGTGTGAGCTGGAAAACAGCTGAATCAAGCCGAGTTGAAGTCTTCATTGTTGAAAAAGAACCGATCTTTGATGTTGGAAACCAATGAATTTCACAATGACAATAAAGAAAGGAGAAAAATTTTACACTTGGGTTTCAAGAGAGCCCCGTATACTAACTGCTACCGAAAAGTTTTCACCAATTTGCAGAGTATGACAAAGACCCAGAAAGGAAAATGAACATAACAAGGAGAGAGAGAGAGAGAGAGAGAGAGAGAGAGAGAGAGAGTTTAAAGATAGAAAGTGGGGAGGAAAAGGCTCCCCTTTTTTGGGTAAGTAAAAGCTGCCGTTCTTAGAAAGTGAAGCACAGAAATAGGGAGGAACAGAAGCAAAAGATGGATGCCAACCACAACTGGGGACAGTGGAAACTGAAATTTCTAATTGCCATTTGTGAAGTAAAATAAAGGGGAATGGTGGTGGTAGGACGGCAAATTAAAGTAATTTTCAGGGGGTAGCCAAAGCGAAAATGACAAATATTGTATCTGTTTTGTGATAAATAATTAAGGGTTTTAAGCTATATTTTTGTTATAAATGAACATAAAAATATAAAACTTAATATTAATTTCAATACTAATGTTTAAGTAAATAAATTTAATTAAATAACTAATAAATTAAAATTAATTTTTATTTTTTATATAAATTTATAATAAAAATAAATATTTATTATATGTTTAATTTATAATAAAGAGAGATATTAGAAAAATCATTAGTAATTATGGTCAATTTTTTTTTTGCGAAATTACGGAAAAGACCTGCTATTTTATTCTTTCCAACGGTAATGTTGTTGTTGTCGTCGTGCTTTGTCAATTCATTTGTCCTTCTCAG